GAAAGAGTATGTTTGTAACACTTCCATGATACAAATCCAGTTTAAAAAAAAAAAAAAGTTTTCATTGTAAATAAGAGCAATATTATGACAATTTTGTGCCAATGTATAATGTTAAGACTTGTTTTTATTTCAGGTTCAGATTGAAAACTACCACTACCATCTCTTGTTTAAAGTGGATTTTGAAGGGGTTTTTTAGTAGAGAGACATGGGGCTCTAGCAGGAGCTTTGTGTGTTTTGGGGGCATTTTTTATTTTTGCTAAATATGAAATAAGATACACATATTGTTTAACAAACCACCTACAGATTGTCAGCCAATCTACTTTGAGAAATACTGCTTTAGAGACACCCAATAACTGAGAGATGAAAAATTAATTTATCCTGAATTTGGCAGGATTTGATATTTTAAATAACTTGTGAGTCTTAGGCAGTAAAATAGTGCTTTTATGCATTCTATTTTTATATATCGTCTCCCAGTTATGAAAAAGAGAAAGCCTGATATTTTTTTTGCTCACTGCATTTAATGCTAGCTGCTGTTTCTTCTGCATTTCTTTGTTAAATCTTGAAAGCTTATGTCCCATATAGATAAAACAATAAGACTTTTTCTAGAATATCTGCTTACAGTCTGGCACACCATCTATTCAAGAAAGGGAGAGAAAGCTGTTGGGAAATTAAGGAACATGAGGAGTTTGTTACAGAACCAGTGTAGCCAGCAACTTTCCATGGAGACCTTCCAAAAAGCTTTGCGGTACCCATGGAAGGGCAAAAATGCAGCGGACCTGCTGCAGTTGCACTGCCCAGGGAGACGGGAAGTAGGGAAGGTCTGGCACAGAGATGCTGGAGCTCCAGGTATGCTGTGGAGCTGAGTTACGCGATATTTTTATGCTTCTGCAGTGTGTGTGCAGGTGTGTGGGCGATGTTTGATGGCTCAGGGAATTAGCATGAGCATGAAAAGCTCTACAGATCCACTAATTTCTGAGCAAAAGCAGGTTGTCCAATGTGTATGCTGTAGTTTTGACTGTAGAGCTGCTATGCAGGCAATCTTCAAGACCCTCAGCCCTAAGGATAAAGGGAGGGACTGGGTTATGGTCCAAATTAAAATTTTTCATATTTGGACTTCCACAAAGTACAGGAATGGTGCCCGCTAATGTCACTTGTAGTCTCTTTGTAGCTCTCATCTCATGTCCCCCGTTGGCTGGGTGTATTTGCTAATTTAAGTACCTTTGTCTTAAGACTGGAAAAGTTCTCTTCCATTGCTACTTTTAGTGCTAGGATCCAATATTAAAATCTGGTAAAAACCATATTCGTTGATTAGACGTGGAACTTGCATGAAATTGCAAGGATTATAATTATTGGTGATTGGGAAGCTGTTACAAGGGGAAAATGGTTTGTTTGTTTCAGTATAACTGTTCTGTCCAGTCTCTTATCCGGCTGCAGTTATAAACTGAAACTGGTTTGGCGTTGTGGTTTTTTGATTTGGTGGGGTTTTTTTGTTTGTTTTGTTTAGCAGTCTGCAAAGGAGGCTAATTTGTTACCACTGGATTTTACCTCTGTGCTGGTTGCTATGATGAATGTGCATCTTTTCAGTTCATAGGGCTTCTCCAGATACAAGTTTTTAACTGGTGCATAAGCTGTAAGCTCTGGCTATTGGCTTTGACGTGTTTTGCTCATTGAGAGCTCAATGGTAAACATTTGCGATAAATTACTTTTTTAAAAAAATGCCGAAACTTTCAATTAGTAAGATTTGGACTTTTTGAGTCTTTTGAACTAGTAGCCACATTTAAAAAAAAAAAAAAAAAAAATTGCCACTAAAATGTCTAGCGCTCTAGTCTGCTATAACATGAACTGTGGTTTCACAGACTGGCTGACAGTTTGTTGGTTGTGTTATTTTGTATTTAGCAAGCTTACACATTTTAAAGGGTAATTTTTTTTCAAAGTGTTTTGATGTTTGAATAGTAGCACTTTATCTCATGCTTACTACTGACTGAACTATTGGACAAAATAAATTGGGTTTGGAGAGAGATGCTTAATGTGTTTCTGTACAGAGACTATTTGGATTACACCCTGGTACGAATGCTTTCTATTGTTCCAACAATTTCTGGTTTATTAGTTGTGTGTTTCTGAGGGACTTTCAGAAAATAGATATTAACTAGATATTAACAATTCTATCATCTCAGTTTTCATGTCTTAAAAAGAATATAAAGCTTGCATTTGGGAAAAAAAGAGAAAACAAAGCTGCAAATAGAAACTACAGGGTACTTGTAAATTTATCTCTGTGATCTCTCTCAGCTAGCTGCAAATTAGCTATGTTTACTGTAAATGTTTCTGCTAAGCATTATTTTTAACATTAGATCAATTACCTGGAAATCAGTATTTTTTTTTACTTAACTTATTTGAATTTTGATAACTAAAGATAATGCACAACGAAGTTTAAAGGAGTTGTCACCCTTTTACTCCTAGGCCAGGGGCCGAAGACATGAGTGAAAGGGTTAAACAGTTTACATTAAGCTGTTGTTTTCTTTAACTAGAATATATCCACAAAGACTAGACTATAAATGATCCAGTGCCATTATCTCAGTACATTGGGGCACCACAGTAACAACCCGTAATAATCTTATAGGAAAATTAAGGTAAGAAAACGAAGGGTTTATTTTATCCAGTGTATCCAGATTTGTTTTCCATTTGGTTTGGTTTGTTTACCAGTGATCCCATTGTAACCAGTCAATTTGGCAGGGCTGTTTGTGTAAGGTTTGGGGTTTTTTTCTGTAACAGGTGCTATACTATGTGTAAATACAAAAGGGAAGAATATTATTTAGATCATTATTATCAATCAGATGGTGGCAATATTTTTTTTGCTAGTTACTTCTGGTAATTAATTTGCATTTCCAGCTGTGGATTTCAGTTGTCAAATTTCATCTCAGTTTCATACTGCTGAATGATGGACTGCAAGTGTGAAGTAAATCACCTGAGTTGAATTGCTCTTTTGTTGTTTAGACTAACTCTTGTGTATCTTTATTAACATTGGGGAGATTGAAAGGTTCTTCCCGTAAGTAGACTTTTGCCTATAAATTTGTTTAAAAGCACATGAGGGGGAGGGGAAAAAAAAACCAACCTAAATGCAACATCTTGGCTATACAGCCATGGTGGTTGACTGAAAATGATGAAAACTTGAAACTGGTCAACACTGGACAATGTGAAAATAAATTCAGCTTTTGTCACTGCAGCTACTGTATGCTTTAAAGGGCCTTATGTATTTGTCCTCATTTTGATAAAATTAAATTTCTTGCCATTAAAATGATACACTAACTTCTATCGAAAACCAGCAGTTCCCAGGATAAATATGCTAGTTAACATTTAACAAGTCTTGTTTTAGTCTTAAGTAAAGTTTCATTCTATTATGTGAAAAAATGCTGTTATGCATATTTTGTGGATATATTTAATTTCAGTTGACAAATAGTTGTCTAGGTACAGACTTGAAAATATATATATAGTTTACTTGTGGATCTTAATTGTTTAATTGCAAAATAAAGATGTGCTTTAGTAATTTAAAGTTTAAATTTTTTTTTGCGATTTTCTTGCTACTGTACACACGGTTTTGCTATGCTACTTCTGTTACGCTTCTGATGCCCGTTAATGTTCAGCTTGCATTTTACTTTTTGACATTGTATGCCATAAATACACCCCTATGGATTGAGCACTAGAAGAGGATGCTAAATGATCAGGAATGAAATTGGTTAGTTACAGAAGCAGCGTGACAGTGTCAGCCAGAGTTTTTCACCTGAAAATACACACTGCAGTTTTTGCTCTAATGGAAGAATAACTCTTTATTTATATTTTATACAGTGAGTGTTTTGGAGGCAGTGTTCAACAGAGATTGTAGTCTGATAACACCACAGAGGGCATGAGGAATAGTGATGTGAAGAACAAAAATTCCTGATGGAAGTTTGTGATGAAGTATTTGCTGCCAAAAAGTGAGGAGATGTTCAAAGCAAAAGTAGGAAAAGAAGATGAAAGAGTTTAGGAGGCAAGACAAAAATCTCAGGAGTCTAAGAAGAGAGACACCCCCATATGTTCCTAATTTGACTGATTAATTTAGGGCTTTAAAGTGAGGACAAGGTGTTTGGATTTGAAGTACAGAAAGACAAACTACTGGGAAAGCATTCAAGGAGAGAAACAGAAGAAAGAGATACTAAGCAGGAAGAGATTTGTTTAAACTGGAGTAGGAAGACTGGGTAGAAGACAAGCCACAGATGCCACAGTTGCATGTGCATATATACTTGGGCTGTATCTGAGCGGCATATAGAGAGGCAGCAGCGGACTGCGATTAGAGAGTAGCAAGGGGCTGGTGTGAAGTAGGAAGAGCAAAAATGAGCAAAGACGTTTGTGTCACTGAAGCTACAGAAAGGAAGTTGGGAATAAGGGTGGTTTTGGTGGCGATGAGGGAGCTTGTCAGTGACAAAAGTAGAAAGAAGCTCAGTTTGAGGAAATAGTTGAAGATGGGCAGAAAATTTATGGACAGCCTCTAAGAATCAGGTAATCATTTTCCTGTTGGACAAAGCTTTCTGGAGAATAAACTCCAGAAAGCTTTGTCCAACAGGAAAATGTGAATTGCTGTAGACTTAATGGCAAGGAGACATCGTTTATGCGATGGAGATCTCCACTAAAAATGAAGCATCCTTGTTGAGCAAGTGACCAGCTAATTGATCTGCACTGAGAATTTGTCAGATATCTGAAAACCACCAAGATAAATGATTTTTTTTTCCCTCTTTCAACATAGTAGGATTTTATGTTTCCTCTGGGTACTAGGAGCAAGCGTAGTGCCTGCTCCTCTGATAAAAAGTATCTGAACCCCTCTTTCCCCCCGTTTTGTGATTTGTCTTCCTGAGTAAATAACCAGAAATGAACCTGAATCTCACCTCTCCCCTAACCTTGCTCCTTCTGCTTGTGGCAGGAGGATTGCTCTGTTGTCAGCACACGGGTGCTAAAATAACTGACATTTAACATCAAATCGGCCTGTTGCTTAGTCATCAAATCCTGGGCAATTACCTGGCAGCCTTCCCCCCACACAGAGCAAATGACATCAAGATAACTCGATGTATATTCTGGCACTGGAGCTGAATTTGCTGTAGCAGTGTACTGTTGGGTATTGCATTACGCCAGTTGCTCTGCGTGGCAGGTGAGTGACTGGTTATCTCAGAACGGGTTTCATAGCTCGAGTGTAGAAAATGCTGGGTTATTGTTAGCAAAAACCATCCCAGTAACAAGCCAAAGTCTCTGCTTTCCCAGACCGGATTCCCAGTTATCCTGGGATTTTGAAGGGGTCTGGAGCTTGTTTACACAGAGCAGCCTCTGTGTTAGCCAGCGCTATACAAGCAGAGCTTACATTGCCTTCTCTTTATATTGCCTTTCCTGCGGTTTTCTGTTTGGATACTCAGATACTCACTTGAACACAAATATTCACATACTCAAAATTAATAGAGTGACGGGCAGCCCTCTGTAACGGCTGTGGCTAATGCCAGCGAGCAGGGATTTTCCCCTGAGAGCACCGAGTAAGAAAAATGATAAAATTATAACTCACTGGGGAAACTGGCCTTGTATTTCCTAAAAAGTATTAGTTTACAAACTGCATTTTGTTGTCATAATCTTATTTCAGTGTGTAAATACTAACAGCGTTAGCTTGTGTATGGTTCTGCTTTACTTAATATATTGCTACCGTTACCCTTGCAGGCGGTGTTTGAAGAGACGATTTTCTTCTGAACTTGGTGGTTTAAGAGCGCCTTTGGCTGAGGCTTCTCGTTACAGCTGGCCAGCCGAGGGCTTCTCACAGTTCGGGCTGAACAGCTGAGGGAAACTACCGCTCCCTGGTCGCAAAAATTCCAGAAATTCTGCGAAATAACTTGAAAGCCATCCCGAAGGCCCAAAACGACG